GGGGAGGGGGCTTTGGGCTGGGGGCCTCTACAGGTGGGAGCAGCGTTGGGGCCTGGGCTCCTGTTCGCGGCTGAGTGCCGATCCCGAGGGTGGTGGCCGTGTTGCGCGCGACCCCTCATTCATCTTCTGCTTGGGAATCGCACTGCCATGGACACTGATGTATAAGCATCTACTGGAACCCCGTTTCCAGCTCCTGGGGGTGTAGTGTATACCTACCCCGGGAATCGCTGGGTCACAGGGTCATTTTATGTCCGACCGCTTGAGGAACCACCGGACATTTCCACAGCCGCTGCACCCTTCCACCCACCAACCCTGGGCAACCATTCCGATTTCTCCCCATCCTCACCAATGTATGACTTTGATTTTCTGTATTCTGATGCTTCCACATCGGGGGCCCCTCAGGGGTCCTGGACGCGGGGAAACAGCTTGCTCATAGCACACCTTGTATATGCAAACCAGCCAATTCAGAGCCTGCCCCCCACCCCCTCCTCTATGGGGCTTTCACTCTCGGGCCACTGTCCCCCTGCTCTGACACCCCAGGCCCGAGGACCACTGCAAGTACGGGTAGCCCCTACCCCCCAGACTAGCTGCACCTATTCACGCTAGCCCGTCCTCAGCCTGCATCCCTGCCTTGCCTCTTTCTTCCCGATGGGACCACAATAAACACTTGCCCACATTTCCCCCTTTCTCCCTGTCCTCCCAACGGCTGCTGGTGCTTCCCTGAGTGGCCATGGGTGGTCCAGAGCCGCGAGTGACAGACGTAAGTCTGTGTGGTGACGGATGGCAAGCAGACTGGGGCGGTGATAGCTTCTCAGGGCGTTCACTCGCTGAACCGTAGGTCCCACACCTGGCAGTGATACCACGTTCTGTGTCAGCTGTGCCTCAGACAGACAGACAGACAGACAGGCCGACTTTTCAGTGCCCGTCACTGGCTGAACTGCTGGCTTCATTCCACACCTGAACAAGAATAAAACCCACTCAAAAACAGCCAAGACCGATTTTTTTTTTTTTAATTTTTGCATACGGTCTGTGCCCAACGTTGGGCCTGAACTCACGACCCCGAGATTAAGAGTCACAGGCTCTGGGCGCCTGGGTGGCTCAGTCGTTGAGTGTCTGCCTTCAGCTCAGGTCATGATCCCAGGGTCCTGGGATCGGGTCCCGCATCGGGCTCCCTGCTCAGCGGGGAGTCTGCTTCTCCCTCTGACCCTCTTCCCTCTCGTGCTCTCTATCTCTCATTCTCTCTCTCTCTCAAATAAATAAATAAAATCTTTAAAAAAAAAAAAAGATTTTATTTGAGAGCGGAGAAGCAGACTCCCCAGGTGTGGGGCTCGATCCCAGGACCTGGGATCATGACCAGAGCCGAAGGCAGACGCTTAACCGACTGAGCCACCCAGGCGCTTCTCTAATCTCTTCTTATAAGGACACCAGTCAGATGGGCGTAGGGCCCACCCCATGACCTCGCTGTACCTTAATTACCTCTTTAGAGACCCCCGTCTCCAAGGACTGTCACCTTCTGAGGTCCTGGAGGTCAAGACTTCCACATAGACACAATTTATTCCCATAACACTATACGAATGCTAAGATTTATAGAACTGCACACCCCCAAAATAAATTTTAGTGTACAATTTTTACAAAATAAGAAGCCATGCAACACGTGGCTTGTGTTGGATCTTGGTCAAGACAACCATCTATAAAGAACATTTTGGGGATAATGAAAGTAAATATAGATTTGGACTAGATACAAAGAAATGATGGTTTTGTTAATGGTGATAATGAAGTGTTGTCTATGTAGATTATTTTTAGAGTTTTTTTTTTTAAAGATTTTATTTATTTATTTATTTGACAGGAAGATAGAGAGAGCCAAAGAGCACAAGTGGGGGGAGCGGCAGAGGCAGAGGGAGAAGCAGACTCCCCGCTGAGCCAGGAGCCCGACATGGGACTCGATCCCAGGATCCTGAGATCATGACCTGAGCCGAAAGCAGACTCTTAGTCAACTGAGCCACCCAGGCGCCCCTCTTTTATTTATTTATTTGTCAGAGAGACTGAGCACAAGCCGGGGTTGGGGGGGGGAGCAGCAGAGGGAGAAGCAGGCCCCTGCTGAGCCAGGAGCCTGATGTGGGACTCAATCCCAGGACCCTGGGATCATGACCTGAGCTGAGTGCAGAGGGTCACCCAGTTCCCAGGTGGCTGGAGGAGGCACGATTGTATGACCAAGGCTGTTGGTTTCTGTCCCAGGAAGACTGGTGATGGCTCAGCTTGAGACCATGTATGTCATGACTCGCCCCTGCTTGGCTGTGTACGTGGGAGAAATTTCTTTCTGTCTTTGCCATCTCTTAGAGGACTGCCTGGGATGCAGGTCACATTCTGGTTTCGTCTGATTCGGAAATAAACTGTTTTCTTCCTCTCTTAGCTTTTTGAGCGGTTTTCTGGGTTGGCAGGAGGTTTTGTTTTCAATTATATTTCCCCAACAGAGAGCAATATTTGAGTAGCCAGAGTTTGGAAATAAGCCCAGCATATATAGAGAGAACTGGTTCATAAATTTCTAGCAGTTTACACCCCTTTAGGAAAATCACCAAAGTCACCAATTGAAATGAGAAGCTGTAGGATTTATTTTTAATTGAACCAAAAAAGCAAAGTGTACTGCAATGTGTACACAGTGTTACTTTTTTTTATAACAAAGAAAACAAAACGGGTAGGTCAACTTGTTACTTTTTATATAAACACTGACCAGATGTACAAGAAACCCAATTGCTGAAGGACATGCCCCCAGCAAGTCTTAGATTTCTAAATCTCAAGCTGATTTTTTTTTACATGTGACAGTCATTATTAACACAAAGAAAACATGTTTAAATAGTTTATAATTCAAATGTGATTTATTTTTAATTGGAAGTCACTTTTCTATAAAAGAAATCATTCTCCGATATGTTCCTCTTGTTAGAAAAGAAACAACAGGCCCCAAATGGAGTCACTGGTGCCAAGTCCCACATCAGCACACTGAGACTTAACACCTAATTTATGCAGTTTTGGCCTCTCCCTGTCACTGTGATTGCCCAGTCAGATAACCTGCTGGGTAGACCCCCTTCCCCCCAAAGGAAGGTGATCTTGCCTGAAACAATCCAGCTGTTGCTAGATTTCCCGTCCCCTTCTGCCTATAAAAGCCTTCTATTTTATAGCTCCTTGGAGCTCCTTTCCATCTGCTAAGATTGGATGTCGCCTGATTCATGAATCATTAAATAAAGCCAATTACATATTCAAATTCATGGAGATGGATTTTGTTTTTAACGCCCCAGAACACTCATTTTTATGAAAGCGAATACCACCTCTTTGCAAAATAGAGAAAATGAATTTTTATAATTATGTTTGTAGGTAAAATGGTCCATGATACTGGAGTTTGTACTTGTCTATCCAAAACTGGGAGATATTTTCAAAATGAGCGATCATATTAAATGCTGCTTCTGGTGTATTGAGAGTTTTGGGTCCAACATAAATGTATTTCAGCTTTTATGGCTTTTAAATCAGTTAAATTAGGAATTCAATTGCTTTCAAGATATCACAACCTTTTATATTGCAAAATTCCCTAGAGATACACATTTCCTTGTAGGATGTGAAGAAGATTTAAAATGAGGAAGGCATCCCTAAAAGAGTCACTCAAGGGGCACCTGGGTGGCTCAGTCGTTAAGTGGCTCAGGTCATGGTCCCAGGGTCCTGGGATCGAGCCCCACATCAGGGTCCCTGCTCAGCGGGAAGCCTGCTTCTCCCTCTCCCACTCCCCCTGCTTGTGTTCCCTCTCTCGCTGTGTCTCTCTGTCGAATACATAAAATCTTAAAAAAAAAAAGTCACTCAAAAAAAAAGTCGAAAGGACACTGAGGAAGCAAGCAGGTCTTATGCACATCTCCTGTTTCAATGTTCAGAACACCATGAACTTTTGACTTTTGTCGATCGCCATTGGATCAGCTCCTGGAACACATCTTCCTACTGGGGACTGAAATAGAGATAATGTAATGCCTGTTAGTCGAATAGCCAATCAGGTATGAGATAGTTCAAACTCTGCCAGCACCAATCGTAATTCCTTCAAAACAACTTATGTAACCTTGTATTTTTTCGCCTTTATAAGCCTGCACTCCTTGCTAGCCATTTGGAGAACACTTTGGATTTTGACTCTGTGTCTCCCAGATTGCAATGCCTAAGACCCCCAAATAAATGCTTTTAGTTGCTTTATAGCCTTGTGGTCTTGACTGTAAAGGGGAAAACGCACATCTGAGAATTCTAACCTTTCACATTGTGGCTCTGCTGAGCGAGGTCCTGTGCCAGGATGGAGACCTGGAGTCCCACTTCCCCGGGGTGGGGAGGGGGCGGTTTGCTGACCTCAAGCCCCAGGGGTGGGGACGGGGAAAGAGGTCGGAGCCTCTCGCTCTGAAAGGTGACAGGTCAAAACTCACCGACCCGTCCCAGCATGCACTGACGTCATTGTTGAGGATCATTGTTCTTAAACAAAAGGTCCACCTAAGCCCTGACCTTGCCCCCAGGCCAACCCTTGACCCTAGGGTTCACCGGCTCCTTCCTCTGTCCCCTCCTGTCCAAGGTCCCAGCAAGGGGAGCTCCGCGGATAAACTGAGTCAAGACTTCACGGTCCAAGAAGAAGACGCAGGCGCCGGGAGGTCCGGGCGCTAGGAGAGGGTTCTGCTCCGAGCCCGGGCCAGTAGGCCACGTGTGTCCGAACGGCTTGTCACTCAGGACACAGGGGGCAGGGTCTGGGAGGATTGTCCAATCAGGGGCTACGGGGGCGGTGCCGAGGCGCGAAAGCCCAGTCCGTGGTTAACCGCAAGCTCCGGCTCCGGGGGCGGTGCCCAGGAGCCTAGCCAATCAGGAGCAGGAGCCCGGAACGTCGTCCAATCAGGGCGGAGGGCCCGGGAGCCGTCCAATCAGGTCGGGGGAGGGCGCGCTCCAGTCGCGTGTGCATCGCTCCCCTGCTGCCCCGGCGCCGGTGCGCACCTGCCCCGCGCGGCAGCTGCTGTCCGGTCCTTCCCGGTCTCAGCGGCCCGGGTCGCACAGCCGCAGGCTGAACGCAGGGAGGAGCCCCGAGCGGGGCCGCGAGATGGTGAGTGAGCGGGTTCGGGCGGAGCCGGGGGGGCCGCTTCGAACCGGCCGGAACCGGCTGGAGGTGGGGCGGCCCCGCCCCTGGGGGGGGGTCCCGATCCAAGCGCGAGCCCCCGGCCGGGGGTGGAGCCGCAGCGTCCTGTCCCCTCCCCCCTCCCCGCTCCCGAGCCGTGTCCTCCCCTGGGTGGGGGCCCGAGGGAAGGTGGGAGGACCCCAGCGCGGTCGGTCGAAGGCTGGGGTGCAGGAGGGGGGCGGCTGAGGTAGGGGCCCCCCCCACCTGACAGATAATATCAAATCCGTACGTGGTTACGGACGCGTTGTTCCTGCTGAAAAAACAACATTCCCCTGAGTAATGGGCTTATTCAGTGATTCACGAATCGGGCAGCGTGCCATCTCGCGGATAGAAAGGAGCTCGGAGGAGCTGCACAAAATGAAAGACTTTTACAGGCCCCAGGAGTGGGAGCAGGAAGTTATAATGGAGAAAAAGTGGATGATGGGTCGTGGCAGGTCACCTTCCTTTCCGGGCCGGCAGGGGGTCTAGCAGCCGGACGACCTCGCTACTGCTGACCAGCTCGTTCCTGATGGACGGGTTTAAGATTCCACTGCTGGGAGAGGCCGAAACTGCAGTGAAGTTAACTCTTGGTTTGGTGACAAGGAGCTGAGTATGAGGGACTCCATTTTGGGTCTTTTGTCTTGTTTTTAACATTCCAAAGATTGCTGCAGGAGAGACGAGTCTCAGAGACCCTCCAGCACCTCCAATCAAACAGAAACAGGGCTTTGCTTTAAGAGGAACAGTGGCAGAAAGGTGGTTTGAGAGGAATGGCCTCCGTGTGCTCAGAGCTTCCTTTGCCCAGGTGGGCGGTGGCTTGTTCTGCATCTCAGTACCTGTTGGGAGCAGGTGGGGATAGGGAGGCAAAGTCGGGGTAGAGTGTGGGCAGGAAAGGGACGGTGCTGCACAGTTGGTCACACCAGTGTCCAATGAAACACGGGAATTTAGCGGGGAGGGGCTGGTGTTGAGAAGAATGAGGGCAAAGGCTGGGGCGCAGGGACTGTGGCGCTAGGGGCAGGGGGCTGTTGCATTAGGGGCAGGGCCTACATCCGTAGGGCCACCACTGTGGGCCTAAGACCTGCAAGTGTCTCAAGAGTTGTGTAAAAGGGGGTTTTTCTTTTCTAGAGAGGAATAAGGAAAAGCAGGCATGACCAGGTGTGATGATGACCCCGGGGGTTCCCGGAGGCCAGCCTGTCCGCAGGAGGGGCTGTGTGCGGCTCAGGCTGAGGGCAGGTCCACCACGTTCAGGGTCTGGAGGAAGGAGAGAAGCCAGACCAACGTTGAAGCAGCAAGCGTTTTGTGCCCGTGGGTCCGTGGGGACAAGTAGCTGAGCGAATCGTGGATGAGGCACAGAGTGTGGATTTGGGGGGTCTGTGCCCGGCCCTGGGGTGGATGAACAAGGGGGACTTCGCTGTGAGTCCTATCTTGGTGGCGTGGGGAAGGGGCCCTTTTTGCAGCCTGCTGTTTTCCAGGCGCCAACAGGGTGGGGGAGGGAGTGCCTTTCACCTCCACGGATGCTCGCCCAGGAGCACAGGACTCAGGTAGAGCCTGCCTGTCACTGACCCCGGGGGCAGCATTGTCCCTGTCTAGCTCAGCACTGGCAGCTCTCTCTTAGGCCGCCTCAACGTTCAGCAGCTGGAAAACGACTGAATGCTTTGTGCTCCTTCCCTCCCCTTTAGCGTGGAGGGTGGTCAGTGGGTCACGTCTTCCTTTTCCTGCTGACTCGTGTTATTCTGGGGCTTATCCAGAGAATGTGCACTGGGGGGAAAGTGTCTCAGTACAGAAACAGTCCCTGTTCATTAGGATTGGGGGGAATATGCACGGAGTTACCCACCTTCATGCCGGGGGGCTGGAGGTACGGATTAAAGGATTCATCCAAATGCTAGTGAGTGTTCGATGCAGGGTCCAGAGTTGGGACACCATGTGATCCTGACCCACTTCTGGCTAATAACTAATGGTTAGAGATACATAGATATTTTGCAATCTGAGATGTGATCCATTCTGACATATGATTTGTTATCATGAGAGTAAAGTACCTGTTTGGTGAAAAGGATAAACAGTTTTCATATACTGAAAACCGTAAACGTGCCCAGGAACTTCCCTTCCGACTTGGTCCATGAGCACAGGGTGGAAGGAGGGATTCTGCACGTTGTCCTTCACACTCTAGGTTGGGGTCTTTGTTCTATTTAAATGACCCAGGGTGCTGGAAGCAGGCACCTCACCTGGGCTGGGAACAAGCCGCACCTGAAGCTGGGCCTGATGGGAGGTGAAGGAAGGGCCAGTGGGGTCTTGCTCCCCTGCAGGCGGCCTCCAGCCCCGAGGACTCCTGCAGAAGGTGCTGTTGCTGCCCAGAGAAGCCACAATGCATGCAGCAGGAGGGACACCTGCAGCTGTGGGGTGAGCTGGGGCCGCCCAGGGGCTGTGCCCCGATCATTGGTTTGGCATCAGCCATGGACTTGGTGGAGTTAAGTGGGATTTGTGGAAACTGAGGAAGTAGGTCTGTGAAGGTCAGACACAGGGAAGGCTCCTTGGGATCAAGTGCTGTTGGAAGGGTTGACGAATGCAGAGCTTCTTAGGGGTCAGAACCGAACTCGGAGGGTTTCCTCCCTGGTGAGAATTGGGGCCCTGGAGGAGGGGCTGTTTCCACACTGAGGCGGGAGGCAGGGTGTGTGGAGCCACAGGGTTCGTCCCCGGGAGCTCAGGGTCCCCTCCCTCCTTCCCTGGCACTGGCCGTCCTGGGCTGGTGTCAGCAGGGAGAGCTTGGCCCCCATCTCAGGACCCGGCCTGACCCTCTGCGGTGGGGTTTCTTGTGCTGTGTGGGTGCAGCCGGCTGCTGATCCGCACTGGCTCACACTCACTGCTCCTCCCGCATGTGTCCGGAGAGGCCCTTGCGAGCGGGGAGAGTCCGTGTGGGCGACACGACTTTCGTCTTTGGGCCATATTTGCGGGGCAGGTTCTTTATATTCTTGACTGTTAGCATCCGCCACTGTGCTGCCCCCAGGGTGACCAGTGCCCTGCCCCTTGCTGATGGCAGCTTGATGGTGCTCGTCACCACCATCAGTGTGTCCTGTGACTTTCCCTGTGGCAGGTGCGGTTGGAGAATGTCAGCGGTGCCCCCATTCAAGTCACGGCCGCCGTGTGGTTGCTCAGCCCTCGTGTCTCACTTGGGCAGGTGCCTGTGGCTCGGGTCACCTGGTGAACTCTTCCATTCTGGGCCTTGTGGGGCGCGGGGTCCCCACGTTCAGCCTTTGCTGTTGTCGGCACTGCTGCTAAAGTCAGTCTTGACTAAGTGTAAATCCATAGTAAATATGTGCACGCTGGGGGAGTTGCGTATCGTAGATGCGAGGAAGTGAAAACTGACCAGCAACTGCGCGTGCAGCGTGTGCGTCCCCCGTCAGGGCTGATGCCTGCCAGTCCGGCACCGGGAGCTATCCGGGTTCACTTTGTCCCGCTCGGGTGTGGGACACGGGGTCTGCGTGGGGTCACACATCGGTTTCTCTGCTGCCCACGGGGTGGAGCATTGGCATCTGTGGGGTTCCGCCTTCTATGGAAGCGTTTCCAGCCTGTTGTCACCTGTAACCCTCCTGTCCGCTTCCTGATTTCTTCTGTTTTCTGCATGCACTGTGGACGTCTGTGCTGCTTCATTTCTATGTATTGATAGGGTTTGTCCAGGTCAGGGGTATTCATTCCTCTCCGTTGTCCGCGTGGATGGACTCTTCACATTTTCAGTGCACTTGCACTTGCCCGCCCTGCCTGTGTAGATCGCCCTTCCTTTGTTCCGTGAGAAACCTCTTCCATTGCTCAGGCATACACACGCCTGCTGGATCTTCCTCCTTGTGTGTTCTCCTTGTTTCCATGACAGTGAAATCCACAGGGCTCGGTTCTGGTCCATGAACTTGACAAGGGAAATGATTCCTTATTCCCCTGTAGATAAGCGGTCTTCCCTGGCCCTGCGTCCATCGCTGCCCCTGCCCCACGGCACCTGCTTCCCTTCCTGAAATCAGGGGGCCTGTGCCTGCATTCCACTGTTTTCTGACAGGGTATTTGTCCATGCCTCTGTTAATACCTACTGTTCTGATTACGAGTAAGTTTAAAATTAGAATGGTCAGTTATTTTGCCACAAAACTGAGTTTATTCTGCAATAGCAGAGAATTGCAGTTCCAGACGTGTAAGGTCACAAAACCACAGGCAATTTGGAGAACAGAGGGGAGGAAGGCTCTCTTACAGAGGAGAGCAGGGGCTGGGGTGGCTATGGAAACACAAAGGTCTTGGTGGAAATTGGGAGTTGGAAGCCCAGGGGCTCCTCTCTGGCCGGGCGGTGATGGGAGGTGGAGGCTGGCTTCCTCCTGCCAGGGCGGTGAAATCCCAGGGAAAGTAGTGTAGAGTTGCAGGGTGCTGGGCTTCCTGCTGGGCCCCCCAGTAAGGACCCGAGGGCACCCCTGCTGGCCCCGTACTCCATCCCAAGTGAGCTTTCCTTGGGTGCATTTCTACATTTCCTCCATTTGACCAAAATCTTTCCTTGGAAGCATCTCTGAGTAAGCGGCGGGTTTGCCATACTTAGTGGGTTTGTCCCTCAGCACCAGGAAGGACGTCTTCTGGTTATCTGTCTTGTGTGGGAGGGAACGTGCATAGCAGTGGAAACCAGTGAAGGCCACACCTGAGAAGCAAGGAAGGACGGGAGGGAGAAACTCTTAGGCGCTTGCCATCTAGCTTGCCATTCATCAGGAGTGTGAGATTGCAGAGCATGTACTTATTATGTGCATCATTTTCACAAATCCATAGGCAATAAATTACAAAACTTTAATATACAATCAGAAGTAACAAGACAATTCCAAATGACAAAATGGATAGAATCCAGGACGCTAGGTGTGCAGGCAGCCAACTGAAATGTTTACTGGCCCCTGTTCCAACCTGGGGGGGAACGTTCTCGCCATGAAGGCAGACCTGCAGCC